GTTCCCTGCCCTTCTATGTTTTGGAATACTTTGAAGGATTGGTGTTAATTCTTTGAGTGTTTGGTAGAATTCACCAGTGAAGCCATCTGATCCTGGACTTTTGTTTGGTAGGAAGTTTTTGATTACTAACTCAATCTCCTTACTAATAATTGATCAATTCAGATTTTCTATTTCTTCATGATTCAGTCTTAGAAGGTTATGTTTCTAGGAATTTATCCATTTCTTTTAGGTTGTTTGTTGGCATATAATTGTTCATAGTAGTCTCTTATGATCCTTTGTATTTCTGTGGTATTAGTTGTAACATCACTTCTTTCATTTCTGATTTATTGATTTGAGCTCTCTTTTTTTCTTGATGAGTCTTAGCAAGGGTTTGTCAATTTTATCTTTTCAAAGAACCAGCTCTTAGCTTCACTGATCTTTCCTATTATCTTTTTAGTCTCTCATTTCTTTCCACTCTGATCTTTGTTATTCTCTTCTTCTTCTAACTTTGGGCTTCATTTTTTTCTTCTGTTTCTAGTTCCTTGAAGTATAAACTTAGGTTATTTGAGAATTTCATGTTTCTTGAGATGGGTATTTATCACCATGAATTTTTGCCTTAGAATTCCTTTTGCTACATTCCATAAATTTTGGTATGGTGTATTTTCATTTTCATTCATCTCAAAGTATTTTTTGATTTCTCCTTTGATTTCTTTTTTGACTCATTAGTTGCTCAGGAGCATGTTGTATAGTTTCCACATATATGTGAATTTTCCAGTTTTCTTCCTATAATTGATTTCTAGTTTTATACCATTGTGTGTAGGAAAAAAATGCCTGACATTATGTCAATCTTTTTCAATTTTTAAGACTTGTGGCCTAACATATAACCTGTCCTGGAAAATGTTTCATGTGCACTTGAGAAGAAGGTGTATTCTGCTGCTTTTATATAGAATGTTCTTTATATATCTAAGTTCATCTGGTCTCATGTGTCATTTAAGGCCAATGTTTCCTTTTTGATTTTCTGTCTGGATGATTTATCTGTTGATGTAGGTGGAGTATTAAAATCTCCTGTTATTATTGTTTTGCTATCTATTTCTCCTTTTAGGTCTGTTAATATTTTCTTTATATATTTAGGTGTCCCTATTTTGGGTGCATAAATATTTACAAATGTTATATCCTCTTGTTGGATTGATTCTTTTGTCATTATATAATGCCCTTCTTTGTCTCTTATTACAGTCTTTGGGTTTTGTTTTTTTTTAAAGATTTTATTTATTTATTTGAGAGAGAGACAGATAGTGACAGAGATAGCGAGAGAGAACACAAGCGGGGAGGAGAGGGAGAAGCAGGCTTCTGCTGAGCAGGGAGCCCAAGGTGGGGCTCCATCCCAGGACCCTGGGATCATGACCTGAGCCAAAGGCAGATGCTTAACTGACTGAGCCACCCAGGTGCCCCTACAGTCTTGGTTTTAAAGTCTATTTTGTCTGATGTAACTATAGCTACCCCAGCTTTCTTTTGATTTCCAGTTACATGGAGCGTTTTTCCCTCCATTTACTTTCAGTCTGTTTGTGTCTTTACATCTGAAGTGAATCTCTTTAGGCAGCATATGGGTGGGTCTTATATTTTTATCCATTTGGCCACTCTGTCTTTTAATTGGAGAATTTAGTCCATTCATTTAGAGTCATTATTGAGGGCCACCTGGGTGGTGCAGTTGGTTGAGCATCCGATTCTTGGTTTCAGCTTGGGTTGTGGTCTCAGGGTCATCAGATTGGGCCCCTCTGTGCTGAGCACAGAACCTGTTTGGGGTTTCTCTCTCCTTCTGCCCTGCCCCCCCAACACACACACTCTGTCTCTCTCTCGAATAAATAAATCTTTAAAATATAAATAAATAAAGTAATTATTGGTAAGTGTAGACTTATTGCCATTTTGTTCATTGTCTTCTGGCAGTTTTGTAGTTCCTCTGTTCCTTTCTTCTTCTCTTGTGTAATGCTTCTTATTCCTAGAATGTCACGTTGTGTTCTTTCTGGGTGGTAGTTTAGAAGTCTTAATAGTAAAAATAGTTCATGTTTACCAAGCAATTATGTAGTCATTGTTCAGCTAGTCATTATTCTAAGTGGTTTACATATATACATTAGTTAATACGTGTAAATCATTAACTGATTTCATGTTCATAACAATGCTAAAAGAGAAAGTGGAGAACTTGGTAATGAGAAAGTACATATCTTGTTAAAAATTTATGATGAGGGGCACCTGGGTGGCTCAGTCGTTAAGCGTCTGGGTCCTGGGATCGAGCCCCGCGTCGGGCTCCCTGCTCCCTGGGAAGCCTTCTTCTCCCTCTCCCACTCCCCCCTGCTTGTGTTCCCTCTCTTGCTGTCTCTCTCTCTGTCAAATAAATAAATAAATAAAATCTTTAAAAACAAAAAAATTTATGATGATTTCAGGGGTGCCTGGGTGGCTCAGTCAGTTAAGCATCTGCCTTTGACTCAGGTCATGATCCCAGGGTCCTGGGATTGAGCCCCATGTCGGGCTCCCAGCTCAGCGGGAAGTCTGCTTCTCCCTCTGCCTCTGCCCCTTCCCCGACTCGTGCTTGCTCTCTCGCTTATTTTCTCTCTCAAATGAATAAATGAAATCTTAAAAAAGAAATTTATGATGATTTCAAAACAGAGTTAGTTTTATACCCTGACTGCAAATTTCCCAGTGTCTCTAAATGTCTGAGCTACGCTGCTCCTTTCCATGAATGAGGCAGAATTATTGGGACGCCTGGGTGGCTCAGTTGGTTAAGCATCTGCCTTCGGCTCAGGTCATTGGGATCGAGCCCCGCATCAGGCTCCCTCCTCTCCCTCTGCCTGCCGCTCCCCCTGCTGTGCTCTCTTGCAAATAAATAAATAAAATCTTTAAAAAAAAAATGAGGCAGAATTATTGGTGGTACAACTGACAAAAGCATTTTCTTCTTCTTGAGAACTAACTTTAACAATCCTCTGTTGCATAATTATTCAGAGTGCTCTTACTAGATAGGCATCCAGAGGCCTCTTTTTATAATTGTGGAAAGCAGGGCTCAGAGAGGGAAAATGATTTTTATAAAATTCTTATCTCTGAGCAAATCCCTGCTAGAACATAGGGTCTGCTGTGATACTTCTTAGGCTATAATTCCCCTTTAAAGTTTCCTTTGAGAAATTTTGTAACCCCTCTTTCCTGAATAAAGTTGTCTTTACTTCCTGAATAAAGTAATGTGCTAGCTTTTGCCCTCTTATCTAATTTGCTTGAAAAAAAAAAAATCTCCTTTTGAGGTAATCTGAAGTCAGCAGTATACCTCCCTATTCCTTCTCTCCCAGGGCAGTGGCTCCTAAACCTGGCCCTGCGTAGGAATTATCTGGAGAGTCATTAAAAATCTATGTCCCAGGGCCCACATACCAGGGCCCCAGAACCTGTATTTTTAACATGAGCTCCAGGTGATTCTCATGAAGATGGTACCTACTATTTGGGAACCACTGTGCCAGGGGACATGGCACCCCTCCCTGGAGATAAGACCAACGGTAAATGGGAACAAGTCCCTGTTTCTGACCTCTCCAGCTTTCTTAGTAGATGAATGGTCCTGAAATAGTGCCTGGTCCACTCAGTCCAGCTGCCTCTGGCTCAAGGCACCAATGTGGACATATTTTTTCTCATTGTTTTGTTAACGTTCTGCTTCCTCAAGAAGTTGATGTCAGAATCAACAAAGATTCTATTTGGCAACTCAACCTCTTGCTACAGTCCTTTTCCTCTTGCCTGTTTTGTACTCCCAGATGTGGACTGAAAAGTTCAGCTCTCTGGAATTATCCTCAAGTGTTTTGAATTTCCCCAGAGAACATTTTGGATAGTGGGATGAGTGAGTGTTCTGGAGTCAGGTAGATCTGGGTTTGATTCATATTCTGTTTGGCAACACATTAGCCAAGTTGATTAAGGAGGTAGACCTCAGTTTTCTCATCTGTAATATGGGGGTTGATGATAACTTCCTTGGAAGGTTGTGTGAAGGTGAGAGATTATGTATATAAAACACTCGAGACAGTGTCTGGCCCTTATTACGTTCCCAATAAATCTTTAAAAATAACACTTTAAAGATCATTGTAGATCACAAAGAAGGAAATTATGGCTTTGTGAAACTGTTTAGTGAACAGAAATTATGGCTTTGTGAAACTGTTTAGTGAAACAGAATACATGGATGTGACAGATGATATGTATCTTGAGCATGGCTGGTAGATATGTAAGCAAATCTAAATTACTTGGCAACAAGCTCATTTCTCCAAATGTATGTTTCCCTTGTAGCAATTATTGGATCCCTCTCTCTTCAATAGCACGATCTAGAATAGGTTTCTTTTAATAACTTGTTTCCCTATGTGTTCCTTTTTTAAAAACAATCTTATTAAAGTATATTTGACATACAGTGTTCTGTTAGTCTCAGGTGCACAGCATAGTGATCTGACAATTCTATATGTTAATACATTCACCACAATAAGTGTAGTCACCATCTGTCACCATACAACATTATTACAATTATTGACTATATTCCCTATGCTGTGCTGTTCATGTCTGTGTGACTCATTTATTTTATAACTGGAAGTTTGTACCTCTTAATCCCCTCCATCTACTTCACCCAACTCCCCCAGTCACCTACCCTCTGGCAACCACCACATTGTTCTCTGTCTTTATAAGTCTGTTTCTGTTTTGTTTGTTCATTTGTTTTGATTTTTAGATACCACAAATAAGTGAAATTATATGGTGTTTGTCTTTGTCTGACTTATTTCACTTAGCATAAAACCCTCTAGGTCCATCCATGTTGTCACAGATGGCAAGATCTCATTCTTTTTTTATGCCTCAGTAATATTCTATTGTATATAGATACCACATCTTCTTTATCCATTCACCTATTGATGACACTATTGTAAGTAATGCTTCACTGAACATAGGGGTGCGTATTTCTTTTCAAATTAGTATTTTCATTCTCTTTGGGTAAATAGTAATAGGATGACCAGATCATATGGTATTTCTATTTTTATTTTTTGGAAGAAACTCTACACTATTTTCTACTGTGGTGATACCAATTTACATTCCCACCAACAGTACACAAGGGTTACTTTTTCTCCACATTCTCATCAACATTTGCTATTATAATTGGTCTTTTTTTTTTTTTTTAAAGATTTTTATTTATTTATTTGACAGAGAGAAACACAGCGAGAGAGGGAACACAAGCAGGGGGAGCGGGAGAGGGGGAAGCAGGCTTCCAGCTGAGCAGGGAGCCTGATGCGGGGCTCGATCCCAGGACCTGGGATCATGACCTGAGCTGAAGGCAGCCGCTTAACTGACTGAGCCACCCAGGTGCCCCATAATTGGTCTTTTTGATACTAGTCATAACAGCAGGCGTGAAGTGATATCTCCTTGTTGTTTTGGTTTGCATTTCTCTGATGATGAATGATGTTGAGTATTTTTTCATGTGTCTGTTAGCCAACTGGATGTCTTCTTTGGAGAAATGTCTGTTCAGGTCCTCTGCCCACTTTTTCAACAGATTATTTGTTTTTTCAGTGTTGAGTTGTATAAGTTCTTTATATATTTTGGATATTAATCCCTTATCAGATATACTATTTGCAAATATCTCTTCCCACTCAGTAGGTTGCCTTTTTCTTGTGTTGATGGTTTTCTTTGCTGTGCGAAAGGATTTTGTTTTGGTGTGGTCCCAATAGTTTTTTCTTTTGTTTCCCTTGCCTGAGGAGACATATATGGAAATATGTTGTTAAGGGCAATGTCCAAGAGATTATGTTTTGTTTTGTTTTTTTCTAGGAGTCTTGGGGTTTCAGGTCTCATAGTTAGGTCTTTAATCTGTTTTGAGTTTATTTGTATATGGTATAAGAAACTGGTCCAGTTTCATTTTTTTTACATGTAGCTGGCCAGTTTCTCCAACATGATTTATTGAAGAGATCGCCTTTCCCCCCATTGTATGTTCTTGCCTCTTTTGTCATAGATTAATTGACCATGTAAATGTGGGTTTATTTCTGGGCTCTCTATTCTGTTCTGTTGATCTATGTGTCTGTTTTTATGCCAGTACCATACCATTTTGATTAGTAAAGCTTTGTAGTATATCTTGAAATCTGGATTTTGATGCCTCCAGCTTTGTTCTTCTTTCTCAAGATTGCTTTGGCTATTCAGGGTCTTTTGTAGATTCTTACACATTTTAGGATTATTTGTTCTAGTGCTGTGAAAAATGCTATTGGTCTCTTGATAAGGGTTGCATTGATTCTGTAGGTTGCCTTGGCTATTATGAACATTCTCTATTTGGTTCTTAAAATGAATAGGGAAGAAAATAAAAGAAAAAGAGAGATCATGTGGGCAGACCTTGATCTAGTCAAATGCTGGGCAGATAGCATGACCAGGCAAAGTCTTAAAAAATTCTGTATCAACATAGTCAGGAGAAGAAAGCCTGTCTTATGTAAACAAAGAAAAATAGAAAAACAAAAAAGCAGGCAAAAAAAAAAATAAAAGTCCTTTTTACTGGTAGAGATTTGCAGTTGAAACAAGTGCTTTCAGATGAGACATCTGTCATTCAGTTAGAATTCTGCCTTTGTCACCTTACAGGTGGATGTACCTGGGTCTGTTTTTTTTTTTTAACTCCTTTGAACTTCACTTTCCTCAAATGCAAAATGAAGTTAATAGTTCTAACTTAATAGGGCTACTGGGAATGTTAATTAAAATAATGTGTGTAAACCTTTATATTTCATGGGTGAGTAAATACTGAAGAATATATAATTTAGCCATGACTTCAGTTTATATGGTGGAATAAAATAATGTTAGGGTAAATGAGATGTCAGAAAATGAAGTATAAATCCCAAACTCGGAGGTGTCGAATGGAATTTTAGCCTGCCCCGCTCCCCCACCCAAGTTTACTTACGTATAGAATTTCCCCCTCCGTAGGAACCAGGTTTGTGGGCAGGAACTTTAATTTCATCTTGGACTTTCAAGAACCACATCGTTCATTTCTGTTTTCCTTAAAATGCAGGTGCGCCTATTATTATATCTTTCCCACACTTCTACCAAGCAGACGAGAAGTTCGTTTCTGCTATCGATGGTATGCACCCGAATAAGGACTATCATGAGACATTTGTGGACATTAATCCTGTGAGTACACACATCTTCCTGGTAAAAGCATGGATTTTATTCTGTTTACACAGTGTTTATCGGTTTAGTCCTTAGCACTGTTAAAATACTGTCTTCCTTTCATATACACATTCAAGGGGAGAAGACTCAGCTCAGTGCATGTGATACCTAGTTGCACGGCCTTACAGGCTGAACTCTGTGGCTCTAATAGGCAGAAATAGCAGCAAACCTGCTTTAACAGAAAAGCACCTGTAAACATTGCATCACTGGAACAACTGAGATTGAACCCGTGTAACCTGGTCAGTGTTCCGTTGGCAGCCTTGGACTTGAGCGTATATGCGTTCTCCCACAGGCAGACAGATCAGCAAGGCTGAAGACATACATTCTTTTTTTGCTTACTGCCAGGAATGTTTTGGTTGAAATTTAAATATATGTATTAGCTTCAGTTACTTTTGGCAAGCCTCGTTCTACAGGCACTTTTGAGAGTTTATTGTATGATATTAATTTAAAAGGCATTAGATATACATATACTTTAATCCTGTTTTCAAAGAGGAGATAAACTAAAACCACGTGAAAAGGAAGGGAATAGCATTTCATAATGTGAGAGAGCCTCTCACTGTAGGAACCGAGGTAAAGGTCAGATATCTTCATTCTGGGGATTTTGAACACATGGAGCAGTAAAGAAAAAGCGAGAACAGTCTTTTACAGCACAGCAATTTATGGGCACTTCACTCTTGTATCTGAGAAATCAATGGTCTTATCTTTTTGTGAAAAAGATCAGGTGTTTCTTATCCCCCTTTTCTCTCTTAACCTTCAGTCAGTTCCTCTTCCTCAGCAGAACTGTGGGCAGGTGCTTGTCCCCGAGGGCTGGGTGCAATCCCTTAACCTCGGTGCAGAGGCGAAGCGGCCATGGGGAGCCAGCAGCCGCAGCTGCTTTCCCGGCTTTGGGCGGGGGGAGGTCCTCACCATCCTGGGGACCACTCCCTGGCTCAGAGCTCCCTCCTGCCAGGGTCGCCTAGGGCTTCGCTCTCCGAAGTTGCAGCATCCTGGGTGCCTGCTAGAAATACCGATGTCGGGCTTCACTCCAGATCTGCTGAATCAGAATGTGCATATTCACAAAGTCCCCAAGAGCTCACACGCATATTAAAGTTCGAGAAACACTGGTCCACCAGGCACCCGACCACATCCGCAGTTCTCATTCTGTCAGAGGTCAGGCTTCCCTTGTCCTCCCTTCCTCTCAGACATGGTAGCCGCCACCCTGGCTGTGAGCACCACACAGAAACGCTGCCCTATTGAGAAAAACTCTGTTTGTGGTTTTAATAAGCCCTAATGTTTCCTTTTTTGCTTCTCTGATTGGCAGTTGACTGGAATTATTCTCAGAGCCGCGAAGAGGTTCCAGATCAACGTTTATGTCCAGAAGTTAGACGACTTTGCGTAAGTTTTACCTCCTTCGTCAGAGGCAGCGGGTCGTTTTGCTGCATTGACTTTCTGGTGGGGTCGATGTCAGGAGACAGCCCATTAAGTCTGCTCACTGCTGCCCTTCAGCGATGAGGCGTAACCAGCATTCACATAGGCTGCCTTGGTCTTGGAATTTACTTATTCTTTGTCACCAAACATGTATAGCGTGCTTTCCATGGATCACACATTGTTCTAAGTATTTTACACACAGGAACTCATTTATTCCTCACAGTTAGGCTGTGTTAGCCCCATTTTACAGATGAGGAAACCGAGGCACAGAGAGGTGAGGTAAGGCTACAGAGTCTGCGCCTCTCCACGCTGTGCAGCGTTGCCCTTGCCACGACTCCAGTCTTCCCACTGCGCCCACCCAGCGCCAGCCACGGGCTCCCAGGCGGGCAGCTAAAATAGGCTCCTGAGTCCAGCCCTTCCTCCCCACACTCCATCTAAAAACCACCACTTAATTAGGATTACTAATTAAGGATTACTTAATTAGGATTACTAATAGTCCTGCTCAGACTTTTCAATAGGAATTTTTTGGGTATGAGAAAATGCTTTTGACTTAATGTTAATGAAAAAACAAGTTGCAAAACTATACATAATATCATATATCTATTCTTTCTATCTATCTATCTATCTATCCATCTATCTGTAACACTTGGCTCCCCCATCAGATTTGCAGATTTAATCCCACATGTCACGGATCTTTCTAGAAAGTAAATGTGGTTTGCAAGAATGCATTTTGCCACCCTGTGCACATTCCTGAGGCAGTATAAATTAGTAGTTAAGACCTAGAGCCTTAGAATCAAAATGAAATTACAATCCTGGCTCCACCTTTTACTCATGTTGGTCCTGGGCAAATGACTCTGAGCCATAATTTCCATGTCTTAAACCTGGGACAGTGATACCTACTGCATGAGACTAGTGTGAGAATTAAATGAGATAGTGTCCCCCAAACACTGGGCACAGAGCTGGTTCTTGGTAACGTGCTCTGAGCTCTAGTGAAGACAATACTTAGTGGCCTGGTCATAAAACATTCTGAGGAGGGGCGCCTGGTGGCTCAGTTGATTAAGCATCTGACTCTTGATCTCCGCTCAGGTCTTGACCTCAGGGTCATGAGTTCAAGATCCGTGTTGGGCTCCGCTTGGAGCCAAAAAAACCATTCTGAGGAGTGGCAGCATTGTTCAGCTGGCTGTGGCCATCCTTCTGATAACTCTTAAGAGAATAGTAATCATTTTGATGAATTTGCTCTCAGCATCTTGTGTTTTCATAAAGCTTGGAATTGTTGACCTGACAGATTGGAATCTAACTTCTGACTGATAAGTGTTTGTAAAGATAACTAAGAAGTCTTTATAAGTTCTGGGTAATTTTATGAAGTAAGTGTGCTGGAATTTTCATATAAACTTATCTCTCCAGGGGGGCACCTGGGTGGCTCAGACGGTTAAGCATCCATCCGGCTCTTGATTTCACCTCAGGTCTTGATCTCAGGGTTGTGAGATCCAGCCCTGCATCGGGCTCCGCGCTCAGTGGGGAGTCTGCTTGTCCCTCTTCCTTCCCCCCTGCCCCTCCCCCTGCTCATGCAACTTATCTCTCCAGGCCAGTGTGCTATCATAATGAGGATGCCTATAAAATAATCTCAGATAATTTTCTTTTATCCAGGTATGATTGACATACAACATTATATTAGTTTCAGGTATACAATATAATGATTCAATATTTATATGTATTGCAAAAGGATCAGCCCAATAAGCCTAGTTATCCATCACCACACTAGGTTCAGATGTTTTTTTCTTGTGATGAGAACTTTTCAGATGTACTCTCTTAGCAACTTTCAACTGTGCGTTACAGTATTATTTACTATAGTTGCCATGCTGTACATTACATCCCTATGACTTACTTGTTTTATAACTGGAAATTTGTACCCTTTGACTCTCTCCACCCATTTTGCCCAACCCCCAAGCCCCAGCTCTGGCAACCACCAATCTGTTCTCTGTGTCTGTGGGCTTGTTTTTTTTTGTTTTTTTTGTTTTAGATTCCATGTATAAGGGAAAATATACAGTATTTGTGTTTCTCCGTCTGATTCACTTAGTGTAGCGCCCTCAGGGGCCATTCATATTTTCACAAATGGCAAGATTGCATTCTTTTTTATGGCTAAATAGTATTCTAGTGTGAATAGATACCATGTTTTCTTTATTTATTCATCCATTGATGGACACTTTGGTTGTTTCCATATCTTGGTTACTGGAAAAAATACTGCCATGAACATAGGGGTGCATATATCTTTTCGAGTTAGTGTTTTTGTTTTCTTTGGCTAAATATACAGAAGTGGAAATGCTGCATCATATGGTATTCTGCTTTTAATTTTTCGAAGAACCTCCATGCTGTTTTCCACAGTGGCTGTACCAATTTACCTTCCCTCCAACAGAGCACAAGGATTCTCTTTCATCCACATCCTTACCAACACTCACTACATTTTGCCTTTTGATACTAGCCATTCTAACAGGCATGAAGTGATATCTCATTGTGGTTTTGATTTGTCACCTTTTGTCTTTATAGTGAAACAGGGAACATTAGAACCCTGGTTTTCCCAGTGATGTATATTAATGAGGTAAGTTCTGGGAGGGAGCCATGGGTATATTTTACTTGTGAAAGCTTGGGGAACTTCCATTTTGATGTCTACTATTGTAGCTATGTAATTTAAGATGTGAGAAAGGGGGAAAGGTGATTTTTAAAAACCTGTTTGTCCTCAGAAGATGTCTGTTTATATGTTTACGTGAGGCTGCCTGAGATTTGTTTGAGATTTGAAAATGACAAAAAATTTTCTTTCTCAAGAACATGTTTTGGGTGAAACTCTTTCTGGACAGCTGGTTGTGTAAGAAACAAAATGCAGAGGTAAATGGAGCAATGGCAGACACTGTTGAAGCAGAATAGCCAACACTCAGATGACCAGTTAAAACCTCCTCCATCTTTGAAACTCTGCCAGTTTGCAAAATGTAATTGGTTTACCATTCACGTCATTGAGCAGGAGGAAAAGAGGGTCAAATTAAAATGATTGGCAACATTACATGAAAGTTTTGTGTAAGGTGGTTAAAGAAATGACTGAATAAAATGTGATACATTCTTATTAATTTTAGTGATATATGGTTGCCTTATCTTTTATCATAGCATAGAGGGTTTTTTTTGTTTTGTTTTTGTTTTGTTTTTTTACTTTCTGATAAACCAACATATATCACAAATTATAGGACACAGATCCTGTCATAGTTTAAACAAAAAGAATTTCCCTAATGAAATACTTCTTTTTTTCACACTGTACCCCAGAAATTTTATCCCTAAATGTTAGGTATAAATTAAAGTTTTGCAAATAAAAACATTTTCAGAAAGCTCGGAAAACACCTGCTATTCAGAAAGCTCGGAAAACACCTGCTAACACCTGTGATAAATTCTTTTCTGAATCACATGCATTTACTGTATAAATCTCCTCAGTTTCCCCCTTTCTTCTACCCAGTTTTGAGGGGGAACATGCAGGGGTTTTCCCTCTCCGATAAATTCTTGATCGGCTCGCTTCTATTGTTAGCAGCATTTTTTAAAGTTTTTATTATTTTTCTCTGTTCCCTAAAAACAAACAAACAAAACAAACAACAACAACAACAAAACTTGTTCTGCATAGAAAATTCAGTAACAGGGACTGGCAAGAAAAAGGAGAATTAAAATAACTTTCACAAAACCTGGGCCAGACTGACATTGTTCTTATTTTACTCAACAGTATGTTGTTAAATTGTTTCCAATAATAACTTTGTAAAAAATAATTTACACTTTGTAGAACTAACACATGCTCTTTATAGAGCTCTTGGAAAACTAAAAATATGTTTTAAAAGTGAATCACCATACAAATATTGAATCATTATATTGTACACCCAAAACTAATCTGTTTATGTCAATTATACCTCAATTAAAATTTTTAAAAAATATTTAAAAAAACAAATCACTGATAACCTGTCCCTCAGAAACAAGGACAGCTGACATCTGCTTATGTTGCCTCTTAGTATTTTTCTGGTTTTGATATTAGGTAGTTGAGACCATTCCATAGATACGGTTTTATAACCTTTTTTTCATTTGGCATTACATTGGTAGCCACATTTATAAACTTTCGAAGGGTTTGTGATTACCATTCTAAGACAAGGCTTTTATTGTTTCAGAGGGAAAATGTAGGCACTATTTACCAGTTTATAGGATCTATTTGCAATTGCTCCTGAGTCATCATTGTTATTGTTTGTGGAGAAGGACACAAAGCAGGGCTTTTTGGAAATGAGGAAGGATCCTGTTCTGCCAACTTATGTTCATAGTTGTGTTCATATTTGAAGTCCCCTCCAACTCAACCTTTGCTTTGCTTTTTTGTAGAAGACTGTATTGAGTCCAGGGAATTATGGAGTAAAACCTTGTGCTTTTGGTGCCTCCTAGAAAGAACTTGACTTTACTCTAGAAAAAGGAAATATTAGACCTTGAAGTGACCTTGGAGACTGTTCTCCCACCTCCTTTTTCCAGAGAAGGAGACTCTAACACTGATGGATCTTGGCCAGTTATTGGAAGCACCAGCCCTAGAAACCCATCCTCTGCCTCAGTCTAGTGCAGATTCAGCGTAAATTAAGCCCAAAGTTCCATTTGTTGCTCATAATTTTTATGAAATTAAACTCTCCAGACACCTCACCCATTACAATTTAAAGAGATAAGATCTTTGTTCTGCATCCAGAAAGTGTTATTCTAGAACATTTTCTTGGTTATCAATACCCTCTGGAATTCTAGTGAGCCTCAAGACTACTTTAGACACTCTATTGAGACGTCTGGTCTTTTTTTTTTAAAGATTTTATTTATTTATTTGAGAGAGAGAATGAGAGAGAGAGAGCACATGAGAGGGGGGAGGGTCAGAGGCAGAAGCAGACTCCCTGCCGAGCAGGGAGCCCGATGCTGGACTCGATCCCAGGACTCCAGGATCATGACCTGAGCCGAAGGCAGTCGCTTAACCAACTGAGCCACCCAGGCGCCCCAAGACCTCTGGTCTTTTTAAGAAACATTTTTTTTTTAAGATTTTATTTTTAAGTAATCTCTACATCTAATGTGGGGCTCGAACTCAGAACCCAGACACCAAGAGTCACACACTCTACTGACTGAGCCAGCCAGGGCCCCGAGATCTCTGGTCTTGATTACTAGAGATTTAACCAAGACAGTAATTATACTGTCCACATACCATTGTTGGAATATTTCATTCATTCAATCACTGGCATTTATTCAGCAGCTACTGTGTGCAGAGTGCTATTCCTAATGTTGAGGTGACTGAGATATATAAGTCTTGCCTTTGGAAACCTCACGGTCACAAGGAGTCCTACAGATCAACAGACAGTTACAACACAGAGTGCACAGTGATGGGGGGTTTTAGGGAGTGATACAGAAGCCTAGTAAAGGAACCTTTAACAGGCCTGAGTTGGCCAGAGAAAACTTCTGGATGGAAGTTATGCTGAGTTGGATATTAAAGGATGAGTTGGAGTTGTCTGATACAAAAGATGGTATTATTATTTTTTAATACTTTTTCCTTCCTACTTCCAACCTAATTTGAAAGGAAGACATGTTTTCAGGAAAAAAAAAAAAAGATGTTAATGAATAAATGCCCCCCTCTGCTTACTCTAATTTATAAATGAATTTTTGGTATCTTTGGTTTGCTAACAGGAAGACTCACCCAAATTGTGTTTAATGATTTTGAGGAAAGATATAGCAAAAAACTCTATACCCTGAATATTTAGTAATCAGGGGAATACTATTTTCTTGCCTTCCAGAGTGTTCTCATTGATAAAGAGACTGCAGGTCGACTGAAGTCTGTGATTAACACTACTTTGATCATCACCAACATACCGTACATTGTCATGGCCCTGGGTGTGTTCTTTGGTTTGATCTTCACCTGGCTTGCATGCAGAGGACAGGGATCCATGGATGAGGTGAGTGGTGGCTGGAGGAACTTCTCTCTTACTGGGTAACTTTACCTGTGGGAGGTCAACTGTGCTTCGTTGAAGGGCTGTCAACTGGCTCCATCACCCAGTTGATGGAATCCTCAGGGTGGATTCTGAAGGTTTTATGCTGGGCACAGTGATTTCAGGGTTATATTACTACTAAACCAAATGAGAAGCAAGGGGAGTGTGTCAAAGAGGGAGGAGTAATACAATGGTATTGTCCAGGATTTGGGGCTGGCTTGGTGGGCATGGAATCCCTGGGAGTAAGCTTAATGTTTCTGAAAATAACCGGAAAGGAGAGGAAGAATATTTAACAGCTAAACATCTGGCCTTTGGTGTCAGACTGCCTGCATTCAAATCCCAGTTCTGCCACTTAATTAATGGCTGTGCGGCACTAGAAAATGTGCCTCAGTTCTTCATCTCTCATTATCCCACTTTAGGAGTTTTTTTTGAGGATTAGAGGATATAGTAAACAGAAAGCACTTGGCCCGGTGTTAGCATTTCGTAGGAGCTCAGTAAGCATTAGTTATGTGATGAAACAGTTCGAAGATTATAGAGCAAGACAACCAGAGACCTGCTTGGAAGGAATCATAATATATCAGAAGATAGCTGTCACTGAGTCATCACTGCACACGAAATGACTGGCACAGGAGAGCAGTAACTTCCGTGGAGAGAAGGGAACCCGCCCAAATGGATGGGATAAACAGGGTTAGGTTGGCCTCTCTAAGTGACCAGCCGGCCAACCCAGCCCAACCGTCAATGAGCCTTTCCTGTGGGAGCCCTTCTTAAATTCTCAGCAACGTCCCTTTTTGCAGCAAAGGCTTTCTCCCCACTTCTAGCTGCTTCAACTAAGTGTCTGAGGCAAATGTGAAGGAGGAAATAGGTTGAAACCATCTGAATAGTATTAGCTCCGATTTCCCTGTGTTCTGCATTCTTCCGTGATTTCTCTTAACCTGTGCCCGTCAGGTTAGCGTGAATTAGGCGTGAGGTAATTATTTTGCCATGTCTGTGTACGGCTCTCACTTCCAGTCTGACGTAGCGCAGTCACTGAGATTTTCGTAAGCACAGGTGAGAGCCCAGTAAATGTTACTCCTCCTCCTCCGGTGAACCATCTTTGTGTAGTCACCAAGCAAGCAGCGGCTGAGCACCCACCGCCTCTGAGCACCCACTGCTCTCAGGCAGGAGCCAATGCCGTGGAGTGTGACGAGGGTTACGGTCCGGGTGGGCGCAGGCAAGGGCGCTGCTCTGGAACCGGGGGTGCGGCTGGGAGGGCTGAGAGCGGGCCTCGCGAGAAGGTGAGGCCTGAAGGGCAAAGCGGCGGCAGGCCAAGCCAGAAGAGAGGCCAGTGTGACAGCCGCCCTCCTGTCAGTCTCCCCTCCTTCCGTCTTCCGCCACCACCCTGCCGCCCAGCGTTTCCCATCCTGAGAGAGCTTTCTGAAGGGACTACCTGACTCTGCTGTCCCCTCTCTTCTGAGCCTCAGGGAACCGCAGATGAAAGAGCACCCCTCATACGCACCTAACTGAGGCCCGAGCTCGGTGGAGGAGCCGTGTGAGCTGTCCTGGGCCGGACCCGCCCTGAGGAAACTAGCCGCGTCCTCACAGGCATGTCGCCTGTTGCAGAGAGGAGGGAGGAGACCCCGCGCTGGCTAGTGAGGAGAGCGCTCCGGCAGGAGGTTGAACCACAGACTGACCTGGCTGGCCATTAGGCTTTATAAAATTGTTTTGTTTTCCATGTGTCTAGCAAGTATTTAATAAACTCTTGTATAGTAATTTTTTTGTTGTTGTTATTAGGTGCTGGTAGCTCCAGAATCTTGTGACCACTGTTGTGGTTAAAATGTGTCCGCATCGCTTGTTAACGTTCCTTGGTCTAACCTTATTCAGTATGCTTCAGTCACCAAGCTTGGAGCTCAAAATATATAAATACTATTTTATGTTGTATTCCTCCATTCATCTCACCCCCAAAACAGAAGTAAATAAGAGTTCGGAACCCAAGGTAAAATGGGAGCCTCATTCAATACATCATTAAAATGCATCTAATTTCCTCTTTTAAAAAAGTGATATATTGTATTTCATGCTAATCTTCAGTTCATAATTCCTCCAGGAAAATAATCAGCCTTTTGACTACTTTCAAGCCGGCTGGGAACCCAGCGGGGAAGGGGTGTGTGGGGTGAGGTATGCAGTGGGGCGATACCTGCGAGTTGATTGTGATTAAGCCCCTGAGGATATTTGACTTGTACTTTTGTGAATTGAGAGGATGCACAAATAATGTTGGTGAGGACAAATACAGATATTTCATATGGAGTAGAAGTGAATGCTAGTTATGACATTTGTGGGTAGTTTGGTTTTTTTTTTTTTTAGTCAAAGTGATCTTGATGTGGAAAGGTGCTTCTGGGAGGTGTCATCAGTAACTGATTTTTTCCCCCAGTCACCCTTGCCAAATATGATATTCTATCAGTTACAATATTATTGAGTTGTTCTTTGTAAAATTATTTATGAATATGGGAAATCCATCCCTCCACAGCCTAAATTACACATACATTTCGGGAAGTCTGACTGCACTAACAAGACATTTCTTCAGGCAGTCTTCTTGGGAACTTTGAAATTGTTTTTGTCAGTTGGCTTTCTTTCCTCAGATTTGGTTCCTTCCAGTGTTCTGTGGTTCACTGTCACTCACTGAAGAGAGAAAAATGTGCCCTACGCTTCCTGCGACAATCACCTTGCTGACGGAATGAATGATGGTGTCTTAAAATATTGCACAGAAAATGCTTTAAAGGAAGGTCCCTGGGGACCCAGGAGCAGGGCCGCCTCTCCTCAGAAGACCTCTTGGCTTTTAGTGCAACCTAAATCAGAGGATTAGGAACCATCACATGTCACAAATTCAAGCATATTTAAGAGCATTTTCTTTGTTCTCAAAATTCACTATTCATTTTTGATCAAGAAACCTATATAGTTACCCAGCAAAGTGTACATAGAATTTCTTAACAACTGAATCATCTTACAGGATTTTGTGTTTAAAACTGGAGTTCAGTGTAAGCAAATGAAGAAAAAAAGCCATGGATTTCACAAATACAGCTTTTGATCCCTGTGTGGAGGTAATAAATCCCATTATTTGCCCCAATTTCTTCCTCTCTACACTAAAGCAATATGTGACATGTTCCCTTCTTGAGGGGGCAATTCATTCAACTCTCAACTTCTCTGTGAATGAAGATAGAACTTGTAGATATCCCAAATCACCAAAATGGGAAAAACTAAATTGAAAATATTTTGTCTTCAAGAATGCCAAATATCTAGATTTTTAAATTTATCAATATTTAACTATATAATTGGCACACCTTATTCTTTTGTTTATCCACTTATCCACATGAATAAAACTGATAAACCAGTGCATATTCATTGGTTCATCCTATTATCAGGGTATAGTCATCTGTGAGGAGGAAATTTTTAAATACTACAAATGATTTAACAGCTGATGTACACTTCAGACTGACTCTCACACAGGCAGGGAGACCAAAAACATATTACTGCCATGTGATTCTTAATAGTTATTTCGCTTAACATCCCGTTTGGTATTATCTCTCTGAAAAATCTGTGGCAAGCCCATACACTGCAGTCAAGATTATAGACTGGTTAAGAAGAACGAATGTGCCTATTTGGCTTTAGGGTGAAAATAACAAACTATTCCTCATGCTGATTCTCTTGGAGCCATTATCCTGGAAAGGCCTCCAAAGTCTTTGTGATTGTCATTATCACAGAATATGTGTGTCCTGTACTATGACACTCAATTTAGGGAGAAACCAAAGAGAGAGAGGTGACCTCGCTTCTCTCAGGGAAAATTGAGAGTTGAACACAGGACACAAAATGGGCTTTGCCACTTTTAGCTCAAGGCTTTTCCTACTGGACTTTATTTCCTCATGTTCTAGAAAGATCACTAATGGTCAAGTGGAGCAAGTACTGTACAACTAACCCCTATTGGGGTTTTTACTGAAGGGAGGCTGGTTTTTTTTCTATTTAAATTGCTTGAGATACACATTGTGCAAAAGGTAACCTTCACACTTGGCCCTCTGGGCATTATTTCTGGAATTAATTGCTCGTGGCTATCAAACAGAATACTGACCAGAATGCTCTTCCTGTAGCTTAAATAATTGGTTCATTTCATGTGATTCTTGACCTGTTTATTTCTACCCTTAACGCAATGAAGTATTTCACTAATAAAACTGTTTCTAGGAAATTGCACTGGAAATTGTATGTTATGTCATCAGATGACCAGTCGTCTCTGGTCATCTGAAAGTCGTCGACTTTCATTTGAAAGATGCTCTTTGCCCTCTTGACAGATGCAGGCCTGAGTCGCACCCGTTGGGCCACTTGTGATTTCTGCTCGGCTGTGGTGGCCAGTTCTAGGCAGCCTGACCAGTTGAGCTTGAAGCGGGCCCCACACTGTGTTCCTCTGCCCAGGGCTTTCTCCAGAGCCCTGGGAGCCCCTCAGGAGCACTGGGGGCCAGTAGGCTCAAGTATCGACCCTTAACCAAAGGGGGGCAAGAGCAGGAAGGAACATGTTTACAAGTGACAGAAGGTATTTGCTTGGAGTTCAGAGAGGGAAGAATAGTGGAGATAAGGTTAGAGAGAAATGCAGGGTCCAGATCAACTTGGGTCTTATTAAGCCATGTTAAAGATTTTGGTCTATCTTAAGACCAACAGGAAGTGTTGCAAACTGGATTGAGGGGTCGGGGGAGAAATGGGAGACATGTCAGGCTTGTTCAGAAAGGCCTACTGTAGCTGCAAGGTGAATACATTGGAAGAGTCTACATGGACGCAGGGAGGTCAGTTAGGAGGCTGCCATGTTAGGTGGGTCCCTTTGGGGTCTCCGTTGGCATGCAAGATGGATCTTGTGTGGGTGTCATGCACCAGCCTCCAGGGTGAATTCCACAAAGCTGCATAGCAGGGGTTAAGTCATGGGCTTTATTGGGGAAAATAAAAATGTTCAGAGGTATAGGGCCAGGAAAGCAAGAAAAAAGGCACAGACCCTCCATCCTCCTGTCATCCTATGGAGGCCAGCCAAGGGCCAGAGTACTGTTTGGTCTCACTAAGGAGCACATACCTGCCTTCTAGTCCCCCTTTTTAAGGGGCAAGAGTGAAGAAGCAGTCTTGTCCATGAAGGAATGTACAAGCCACTGAGCAACAGGCAGTTTGGATTTCGGGTGAATGCTTTATAGAAACTGTCTGGGACTGCCAGCTGCCTATTTCCGGAACGTTACAATCTCCATCACTGGGGTAAAGAGGACCCAGGTTCCATGCTTGGGTGCAGCTCCTTCTCCCAGCAGCAGGGCAACCCAGAATGAGGTCACAGTCCGACAGTCCAGCTCACCGCACTGCAAGGGCTCCTGCAATGTCTAGGTACAGGTTGGCAGACCTTTTCTGTAAAGGGCCCAATGAAACAGTTTTGGCTCTGCAAGCCTCTCTTGTCACAACTACTCAGTTTTGCTCTTGTATCATAAAAGCAGTCATGGGCAACATGTAAACAAATGGATGTTTCTGTGTTCCAATAAAACTGTATTTACACAAATACATGACAGTCCATGTTTGGCCATCATTTGCTAATCCCTGGTCTAGGCAAAAGATTATGATAACTGGAATCAGGGAGATGGCAGTGGAGATGAAGGGTTTTAGAAATGCTTAAGACTTGGAGATGAATATGGGAGAGGGACATGTCATGGAACTCATTCACCCATTCCACAGTATTGAATAAGGTCTGTCACGGGGGCAGACACTCTGCCAGCAGTAGGGATACAACCAGTTAAGAAAAACAAAACAACAAAACAGAGTTCCCTGTCCTCGTGGAGCTTATATTAAATGTGGGAAGCAATAAACAGGTGGTGGTAAGTACTAAGGATATTTAAGAAGCCACAGTGACAGGACTGGAATGTGCTATTTTAGAAAAGGTGGTCAGGGAAGGCTTCCTATGGAAGAAATATTCACCCATTCTTTTTCATCCCCGATCCTTCTCCCCTTCCATCCACTATTTCTGTGATTTCACTCTGCGGGTTCTCCTAGCTCTCTGGCCATGCTCTCAGGCTGTTGAGGGCTGTTTGTTCACTTCTTAATACCTGTGCTCAGCTGCAACCTCTTCTCACTTGATAACTCTTCCTGACAATTCCATTGACTCCCTGACTTCAATTACAACCTAAACACTTACAGCTGAAACACGGGTCTGAGTTCAACCTCAGCTGCTCGCGGATATCCTCCGCCAGATTGTCCTCAAATCCAGAAAGCAAAAAAAGGAATTCATTTTTTCTTGTCTTCGTTCCAAATTCCCATTACTGGGGAATGGCATCACAATCCACCCAGTTGTACAAGCCCAAAACCAGGGACTCTTGCTAGACTATTTTCCCTTCCCTCCACATCCCCTCAGTCATCAAGTCCATCTGCTCCTGTCTCCCTTCCCGCTGTCCTCTTCCCTGGGTCAGCACTCTCACTGGGACTCCTGCAATTACCACTATTGGCATGATTTAATTTTTTGAATAGGTAAACCGTTTACATTTTCAAAAAGCATAAAAGGGGTTTATAGCGAAAAGTCTTCCTCCACCCATCTCCCAGATACCCAGTTCATCTTCCCAGAGGCAACTGATGTTACTCACTTTTTTATATATATCTTTCCAGGAATATTTTATACAAGAATGTGTATTATATATTCTAACCCTTTTTTCCATCTCCAAAGTTGTAGCATACCATAGACAGTATTCTAATTGTTTTTTATGTGATACATCTTTGAGATCTTTCTTTTCAGTACATAAAGAGCTTTACTGTTCCCATTTCATGTCTGAATAGTATTCCTTTGTATAAATGCAACTATTTAAGCAAACCCGTTTGTTTCCAGTCACTTGTTATTATACACAACGCTGTAACCAAAAACCTTGTAGTCCATAATTTTGTCCAATCATTTATAAGATAAATTCCTAGAAGTAGCTGGGTCCAAGGATTTGTCATTTTGATAGACACAATGGCTTTTTATTATTTTAATTTTTATTAAAGTATACAAGCACATAGGTTTAAGAATCAAATAATTCTAGAAGATTTATTTTTAAAAAAAAAAGGAACCTAAACAGACACCATTCTCAAAGGCACCTCTGTTAACCCTTTTTTTTTTTTTTAATTTATCCCCATGACTAGGTAACAGGCTGCTTCGTCTATTTTCATGAGTTTTAGCATTATCCATCGCTCTACAATACGGAGATGAGGATTTGGCCTTCCTACCTGGGCCTCATTACACACTCGTATTCAACCGCACGCACACCTTTCCCAAGGGTCCTCCCTAAGGCAGATTTTAAGGGCTTTCCGACGGCACGCCCCCGCGAACTCACAGCATTTCCCCACGCTTGTGACGCCCCACACCACGTGAAGCCACTAAGCCCCCGGAAGCTGGCGGGACCGGGGGCGTTCCCGCTCCAAGCCCCGCCCCCTGGGCCTTTCCGGCATTCCGGCCTCTTACGCTAGGCCAGAAAAGAGGCGGAACTCCCAACTCCGAAGGCAGTTTCCCGGCGGGACTGAATAGCCGAGTGCACCGAGTGTCGCGGGAGCGGCGCTTTGGTCCCCTGCTCCCGCGACATGGCCTTCAACTTTGGGGCTCCCTCGGGCACCTCTGGCACCGCTGCAGCCACCGCGGCCCCCGCGGGTGAGTGATCCTTCCGGATCTTCTCCCGGGGAGGAGGGGAGGCCTCCGGTCCACCCCTCGGTCCGAGATTCTCCAGTTCGGGGATCCGGGGGCGGGGGGGCGGGCGGGGATCTCCTGGCTGCTTGGGGATTTTAGGTGCTTCGGAAAAGGGCGGGCGGCGGCAAAGCGGGCCCAGGCGGCTCCTGAGGAGGCCGCGGGGGAATTCGAGGCCCAGCCTGTGGCTCTCATGCTGTGCGTGGGTCCCCGCAGGGCCCTGTCCTCCTGGGGGTCGCTTCCCGCCGCCGGGGAGCCCTTCTCAGAGAGACTGGAGAGCGGCTCCTCTTTCCCATTGCGGGAGACCCGCCCTGCCCTCCTCACCTCAGCCTCCGGCATCCGCGGGAACGCTTGCTCGGCTCCCTCTGCTGGGCTCGGCGAGGTTAGGGCTGGGGAGCCGCGGGCCCTGCCTTGCGGCTCCTTCGGTGCTGGCCCTTTGGTTCTTGCCGCGGGGACTTGACGCTCCTGCTCCTCTCTCCTGTCCCTACCTCCGCTTTCTTAACTCGTTTGGAGCTAAGTCAAGGTTTGTCTTTGTTCCCTTCTGTAAAACCTGCTGACTCTTCTAATCCTTATCTTGCTTTCTTTTTCTTTTCTTTCCCCTCTCCCGTTTTAAAATTTTGTTTCTTTGCCTACACGCCTATCAGGATTTGGTGGGCTTGAGACTGCCAACTCCACCGCCAGTGGGTTTAATTTTGGGGGTTTCGGATTAACTGCTAATCCTGCAGTGAACTTTAATATTGGGAATTTCGGTGTTTCTACCACCTCGGCGACTCCGTTCAATTTTGGTAACAGTCTGGCAAGTGCAGGTAGATACTGCGGGTCGTATGTGTAACGAATGTTGGGAGCTGGAGTCCAAGAATATTTTGTGGTTCCTAGTTTTGGAAAGAACAGCGACTTGTCTAATGAAGAAGGGAAATTCATTTTCTAGTGTCGAATCAAAAACATTTGTATCCAGTTTTGACTGTCTTAAAAGATTTGGTATTAAGAAGTCTTGCAAGTTATAACGTTCCTTTGTTAAACTTGTATTTGATTGAACAGACTATACCTTCCAAGTGATAAGAATTTGGAATGGATTATTATTTTGAGTAGAATATGTTTTCCAAATTGTTACGTATCTCTTCCAAAATAGAAGCTCAGCAGTCAGGCCCATTTCTCTGGGATTCTTGGACTCCTGCAGTCATATTTTTTTTTTTTTTCATTTTTCCTGCATCTTTCATTGGAATTTCATTTGACTGTCCTTGTGTTTCCCAAAAGAAACAAGTCTTATACGAACAGCAGTATCCTGTCTTGTTTTTTTAAGGTGTATAACAACAATAATGTATTTCTTTGATCCACTCAGCAGATTAGGATACATTTCTATAAGGTATGTAATTATAGAAAGAGCCCCCGATTTTTTGCTGGATTTTTTGAGATATGAGCAGAGCAATTTTATTGTCAGATAGTATTGAGTTCTAGTAGGTAGGCTAGACATCTTTGCATTAAAAAAAATAATGAAGATTTTAGTATCTATATAGGTTGAAGCTTATTGG